GGTGTGGGAAGGAGGGGGGGGAGAGGGCCCAACCCGGCCGGCGGGGCCCGCCTGCGGCCCAGAGGCAGGGCTGCGGAACAAGGAGAGCAGCCTTCGCTTAAAAACTGCTTTTCCATCCCTGGCCTTTGCGGGAAAATAAATTGCTCCGTCCCGTTTCAGGTGGGAGCAGGGGGGAAAGACGTGTCTTTGTCTGTCCGTCTTCAGCGGGACTCGCTGCTGCGACCAGGCGTCCCTGGAGCCGCGCTCAGCCTGATCCTACTGCCACAGCAATCATCCCCAGCCAAGAGCAGAGCTACTGGCGCGGCTGCGCTAGGTTTAAAACTGATGGGAGTTTGACTCCAGCTAGTTATTTTCCGACAAAACTTCTATTTCTTGGCTTTAAGTGACTTAGAAAGTTCTCCTTGACTTTTAAAGTCTGAACATTGAGGTATGAGGGTCAATGAGTGCTTTGCAGCATGTCGTGCTCCTTCCTGTGTATGAGTAATACGCAGGACTAAAGAACTAGACTAATAAGGATAAATTCTCAGTAGTGCTTTCTGTGAAGCCCCCTCACTGAGAAGATTAAGGAAAGACAAAAAACCAGGCCTCACACTCGGAACAACAGCTCGGTGCCGTTTACCCTTACTCTACCGTTGATTTATCAGCTGCCCCTGAAATCAATAGCAAAATCTCACCGAGTTCAGAGAGGCAGGACCCAGCTCCTCAGCACGGAGCTGCACCCTGTCAGGCTGTTTTTTAAAACCTACGTAACAAGATCACTTGGAAGGGAGATTTTAAAACCCAGCTGGCAGCTGAGTAATGTTAATTGCTGTCAAGTCTGCCACACAGTTATTGAGGTTTGTAACTTAAACTCAGGGGAGGGGTTAGGTTGGAAACAGATGACTAGCAAGGTGAGGCAAATTACTGCGGATTCCTCATATCACATTCTCCTGGCCGGGCTCTGTGAGCCTCTCCGGATAAATGTTTCAGAGTCACCGCGATTTTGGGTGAGGTATTTACAGTTGCCATTAATAGATCAACAGGCTAATAACGTGCATCCTCTCCAAGAACCCATTTCTTCATGGTTCTTGTCCAAGGGTTCATTTCTACTCTCCTATTTGCCAGAAGGCTTGAGCCTTTGCTTTATTACGAAAAGATCAGCTCGTGTTTGCCTTGTACCTCACCACCAAGTGAGAAGAAAAAAGGACCAATTTCTTTCATTTTCAGTAAGGGCCAGGATCCTAAATTAATTAAGCCTCATTGTCCACTTTTGATAGTCAAGGGATTTGCAAGTAGGAGGGGAGAAGAATGCTATTAAAAAAAAAAAAAGGAACAAAAGACATTCTATATCTTCAAGATGTTCAAATTTTATCACACTGATGGTCAGGCCCTGGCAAAATGCCAGCTGCTGGAGGGCTACTTCTAATTTGAATGTGCATCACTATAAATAAAAAATGAATGTGCTATGATTCCAACCACTTACGTCTTCCAGACTGAGTAATAACTGCCTGCTGGTTAGGCTCATTAACAGTAAAAACAGTACCTGATCGGCTTTGTTTTCATCTCATTGAGCTGCAGTTGGGGCCACACTTTATATCCCCAGAGGCTGCGTTTTGGGAACTCCTACTGTGTAGAAAATGTATGGAAACTGAAATCTATGTATATAATCAGGCTGGATGGTAAGAGAGCTCAGGAAGGATATTTGTGCCTTTCAGTGATTAAAAAAAAAGATATGGCAGCATTTCTAAGAGAGGGGACTCAGAGGGATTCCTTGAGGAAATTAGACATTGTTAAGAAATGGCTCCAAGTAAATAGACCGAAACCAAGACAGAGACAGCGAGTCTGAAATGGAAAACTGTGAACCGGGGGCAAGTTATACCACCAACCTCACCGCACTCTGCCGAGAGAGTTTCTACAATAGCATGGAGACAAGCTTCTTACCTGGGAGCGGGAGCCCCAGGGACAGATACTCTGCCAGAGAGTTTTTGCTCATTAGTGTACATGGTGGCATTTTGATTCAAGAGATTAATCTTAAATCACATGCTGTAGCGTCCCTGTGACATCTGTGGAGGGAAATACCGTGCCATCCTATAACCCTCTTGTCAGCCTGCTCTACTGCTCAAAAGACTAGTGAACAAAATTGTTTCTTTTATTTAGTTAGCCCCCTCTGCATATCCCCTATGTGTCTTCAGAACTATTTCTTCTTATTTTACTGACACAACGCTATTGTCAGCATTGTGCTGTAATTGCAGAGTACATTGTGATCTTAGGCACAGGTCTTGCTAACTGCTCTGCCTGGGTGGGCTCCGAAACCCACACAGGGCCAACTTGACTTTGGTGGGGGTAGTCTTGTCTCATGAGCTCAGTTTTCATTTCTATTTTTCTATTTTTCTAGTTCTCATGGTTGGAATAGGGAAATTAAGGATAGCCTTATGGATCAGAAAGCAAAGGATGAACAAGAAAAACGTTCAGGGTTGATTCTATTTATTTTGTTATCTTAAGAACATTTGGTCAATGGGATGATTTTTCAGGGGCTCAGTCTAAGTGCCGAGGACTGGAAAACACTGTCTTCTGCTCTGACACATATCAACAGACTTACTAACGGTATTCTGCCACATTTTACTGTTGTGTGAGGCAGAAAAAGCCCAGCTTGAATTTCAGGTTTTGACCGTCCTTGTGCATTCCTCACGCCAGCCAACCTCTTGGGGAAGGCTGGCCTCCGTCCTGACAGAAGGGCTCACTGGGTTCAGCACCCAGTGCGGGTAGGAGAAAGTGTTGCACATTTTTAAAGGTGTATTTGGGAGCAGGATCACTTGCTGACTATAAATAATAGTGAGAGGATATTGCTGTTGGGGTTTACTTCTGAAGGGAGAAAATTTTAAGGCAGCTCACCAGGGTT